CGGGGCTGCCCCACCAGATAGCCCACTCGCGAAGCTGCTGCGGCGAAAAAGACTCATGCACAGTCGGCTGCCGCTGACGTAGGACAGTACTAGTGGCCATGGTAGGCAGTGTCAATCAGCAGCAGCGGCGCAAGGTCTAAAGTAACGACCGCAGTGGCGGTAGCTGGAACGGTAGGTGCAGAGACAACAGTGGTAGGAGCAGTAGCGGTAGCAACTGTAGGAGCGTGCGCAGGCGGTAGCGGCAGTTGGCGGTACGCGCGGAGCAGTGCAGAAGCGCGCAGGCAGCGCGAGCACGTAGGGCAGGAGGGCGTGCAGGGCACGTTTGGCAGTGGCTAGACAGGGCAGGGCAGCGCTGGGGCGGACAGTGCAGGGCGCTTGCGCGGGCAGGGCGCTGGCGCGGGCAAGGCAGAGCGCTAGCGCGCGTAGGGAAGGGCTCTCTCACGTGGCACAGGCAGGGCAGGGTGCGTGGGGCGCTGGCAGGGCAGGGCGCGTGGCGCAGACAGGGCAGGGCGTATCGCCAAAACCGCCTGGGCGATCATCGCACTCCTCCGCAGAACCTCGTCACCCAGGTAACCAGGTCGACCGGGCAACCACGTCGACCAGCTGTTCCTTCTCGTGCCCGTTGACCACCCAAGTCAACGACCACTTCCTGTCAACCTCACTAGGTCGACCAGCCCCAAGTAGACGACACTCCTGGTCGACCAGCTCCACGTCGACCAGCACCCAAATCGACGCCCCACTACTCGACACCCACCTGCTCGTCGTCCTACTGTTCGACGCCCTCCAGCTTGGCGTCCCCTGTCAAGGTCAACGACGGCGCCTCCCTTCATCGACTACCCTCGTCAGGTCGACCACCCCAAAGCCGGCACCCAAAAGTCGGCGCCAGTGCAGTGGCCCCCGCACAGGTCGACCGCCCTCGTCGACCAGTTCGCCCACTGCTGCAGGTCGGCTGCTTCCCTCACACCTGACCACTAAGTCGGCACCACCCAAGCAAGGACAGGGCCATACGCAACTCCCGTTGACACCATCTCTGCATCCATGGCTGTCTGCCACTTAGAGGAGTACTCACCCGGAATCGCCTCAGCGTAAGAGCGCGGGGTAGGGATGTCCAACGCATCCGGGTCTCCCTCAGGGCAAAGCAGCATGGATGGGAAACGAGGTAAAACGACCGCCAGACACTCAAGCTCAAACTGTGTGTCCTCAAGAACGTCACTACTAAGGGCAGGCTCACCCCTGAGGGACGGAGGACAGACAGGCTTAGACTCAGTAACAAGACTCGTGACGTAGTAAAGACGACTCCTAGCAGCAAAGTCGATGAGCTCAGTGACTAGGGTAAAGGCAGCAGTAGGTCCAAAGGAAGGGTCAGTGACGACCGTAGCGAGGAGACAAGTGTCAGTAGGACTGGTAGCACGAGCAAGGTCAGACGGCGGGTCAGGCACGTCAGGAAGAGAGGACGCTGGAGGAGACTGCAGGGGAACACGCTGTGGAACAGAGGAAGGACGAAGTTCCATAACGTGAGTTCCTGTTACAGCAGGAGGACAAGGACGGGCAACACGAGGAGCACAAACAGGTGTGGATGCGCGAGTCTCAGGCTCAAGACGCTCAGTCAGGGACTCAGTCATCGTAGTGTGAGGAGCGGGAACAGGCGGCGGGGAACCAGGCAGTAGCTATGGCTGAGACTGGTCTGTCGGTGGACAGAGGAGAGGTGGAGTGAGGCCAGTGGAAGTCGGGAGACTAAGAACCTGGTGAAGGGCCGAGTCATGCGGTGGCAGGGACGACTGCAGCTGAGGGTAGAAAAACGGTCGGCTCGGTGCAGTACCCGTACCGTTAGCAGCTCCAACACCTCTAGCACCAGCAGCACCACCAGCTCCGGCAGCTCTAGCACCTCTAGTACGAGCACCTCCAGCACCTCCAGCAGTACCTCCAGCACTAGCAGCTCCAACACCTCCAGAACGTCCAGTAGCACCTCCAGCACCAGCAGCACCACCAGCTCCGGCAGCTCCAGCACCTCTAGTACAAGCACCTCCAGCACCTCCAGCAGTACCTCCAGCACCAGCAGCTCTAGCACCTTCAGAACGTCCAGTAGTACCTCCAGCACCAGCAGCTCCAGTACCTCCAGCACCAGCAGTACCTCCTGCACCTCCAGCACTAGCAGAACCTCCAGTAGTACCTCCAGCACCAGCAGCTCCAGTACCTCCAGCACCAGCAGCACCAGCCCCTCCAGCACCAGCAGCACCTCCAGCACCAGCAGCTCAAGCGTCTAGGAAACTTCAAGCTCCAGCACCAGAGCGGCCTCGCTGAACGACCCACTCACGAAACTGCTACAGTGAGAGTGTCTCGAGTCGACTAGGCGGCTGCTGCTATCCAACTGCAGGACCTGCAGCACTCGCAGCACCCCAAGAGTCAGCTCCAATAGAGTCAGCACCCTCCGAGCCCTCACCCCCAGTCTCAGCACCCCTAGGACCAGCACCTCCAGAGTCCTCACCCCCAGTGTCACCAACCCCAGCAGCACTAGTCTCCACAGCTACAGGCTGCAGAGGCGGCAACGACGGCCGAGGTGGAAAACCAGGAGGGGTCTCCAAGCGCGGAGAGCGGCGAGTGGCCGCCGTGTCGTCAGCGGTGGGGTCACCCCCCTCAGCCGGGTCAGAGGAGTCAGAAGAGATCACCAGAGGCTCAAACAGGGGTGGTGGGTCTACCTAAGAGATACCTGAGGGAGCAGGACCCTGTGGGGGGAGGGGGTCTACCGGGGGGGGAACTGGTACCAAGAAGAGAGGCGTCAGGGGGACCAAGTGGGACACGTGCGGGTGGAGTCTGTAGAAACAAATCGACTCGTCAAAGGTGACATCCTGGAAGGAGAACACGCGATGCGAGCGAGAGCAGTAAAACTGCCACGACTGGGCGTCGGTGGGGAAGGCCAGGAAGGCGCAGCGGAGAGTGCGAGGAGAGAGCTTACTTGCGATGGTATCGCGAACAAGGGAGAGCGCGCCCCAGACCCTGAAAACCGACGCATCGCCAACCTCTCCCGTCCAACGAAGTGTGGGCGAGGTCTCTGGCAAAGAGACACGCGGTCAGAGGTTGAGCTGATGCGCGGTGTATCTGACTGAAAACAGCCACATAAAATGGGGAGCAGGTGCATGGATCATGGAGGTACGAGCGACCTCCATTCTCAAGCCAATGCAACGCTCAGCTATCCCATTTTGCGGAGAGGGCGGAAGCGTGAACGTCTGGATGATGCTCTCGTCTCGACAAAACTCCGCAAGGAGGCCGGAAGATAACTCACCGCCCCTGTCAGAGTGCAGACAGTGACATCCGCCTTGCTGCGCAAGGGGAAGACCGTGGTGTAGTGCGTGTAGTCGTCAACGACCAGCAAGAAGTAGCGCTCCTGGTCCGTCCCGCTGACGGGGGCCGGGCCCCACACGTCCATGTTGAGAGTCTACAGAGGAGCAGTGGTCGGAGGAAACAAAGAGGAGTGAGGAGCAGCGCGCTGCCGCCCCTCGACGCAGGGGAGGCACGGCGGGTCAGGCGAGCGCGGGAGGGGGGGCAGGGACCTGGGGAGGCCAGAGACAAGGAGATGGGAGTGCATGCTGCGGAGAGGCGGTAGAGAGGGGTGACTGAGTCAGTGGTGCCAGAGAAGAGTCTGGTAGGAGAGTACCTGACACGAGCACGACGGAGCGACCTGACCAGACGCAGACACCTGACTCGACGCAGTCACCTGACCTGATGCAGCCACCTGTGCACACGCAGTGGTCAGGGTGTACAGACTGGACCCAGGCTGCCGAGTGAACGTAGCAAGGTGACGGCCGGTCCGGGAGCATGTACAAATCGCCATACACCGCCCTCCAGGGGTAAAGGTATCAACCCAAACATCCTAAAGGACTGCATTGCTCACCAATTTCGTCGAAAACAAAGGGAGGTGGAGACCTGAAAGAGAGTTGGAGGGACTGCCAGACACGAGAGGACACTGGAGGCTCGTGCGACGACGGGGCCCCCAGAGGGGTCAGCCAGTGAGACTGGGACAGGTGCAGAAAGTGGTGTGACTGTAGGGCAATCACGAAAGAAGCAACGAGACGCGCCAGAGTCAAGTGTGAAAGTGTGCAAGGCGTCAGCTGAGGCAGCAGACTCACTAGCACATGTGGCAGCAGACGTACGAGCATCTAGACCAGCAGAAGACTCACTAGCACCTAGAGCAGCAGCACTGACACTACTAGAGACGTATCGCTGAGAAAACCACTCCCGAGGCTGCTGCGGCAAGGGGGTCTTCGGCTGACTCTACTGCCGCTGCTGTCGAGTACCTCCAGGAAAATATCCTCCACCAGCAGGACTGCCTCGCTGAATAACCCACTCACGAAGCTGCTGCGACGATAGACCGTCCGGGTGAGGCACTGGCTGCTGCTGTCCACCCCTAGATGCTGCTACGATCGTGATAGTGGCCATGACAGGCAGTGCGAGTTAGTAGTAGCGGCTCAGGTGGTAGCAACAGTGTAGGTGGCAGCAGTAGCGCAGGCGGCAGCAGCAGCTTAGGTGGCACAAGCAGCGCAGCAGCAGCGTGCTGCAGCTCATGGCAAGTCAGGGCAGGGCGGCACACGGGCTGCAGGGCAGAGCGTGTGGGCCTAAGGGCAGGGCGTGTGGGCCTAAGGGCAGGGCGGCGCATGGACCTAAGGGCAGGGCGGCGCACGGACCTAAGGGCAGGGCAGCGCAACGCACGGGCTGCAGGGCAGGGCGGCCCGTGGGCCTAAGGGCAAGGCAGCGCGTGGGCCTAAGAGCAGGGCTGCGCGCGGGCCTAAGGGCAGGGCAGCGCGCGAGCTGCAGGGCAGGGCGAGCGAGCCTAAGGGCAGGGCGGTGCGTAGGCCTAAGGGCAGGGCGGCGCGCGGACCTATGGGCAGGGTAGCGCAACGCACGGGCTGCAGGGCAGGGCGCGCGGGCCTAAGGGCAGGGCAGCGCGCGGGCCTAAGGGCAGGGCAGCGCAGCGCGTGGGCTGCAGGGCAGGGCAGCGCGCAGGCCTAAGGGCAGGGCGGGCTGCAGGGGCGAGCGCGGGCTGCAGGGGCGAGCACGGGCTGCAGGGGCAAGCGCGGGCTGCAGGGGCGAGCGCGGGCTGCAGGGGCGAGTGCGGCTGCAGGAGCGAGCGCGGGCTGTAGGGGCGAGCACAGCTGCAGGGGCGAGCGCGGGCTGCAGGGGCTAGCGCAGGCTGCAGGGGTGAGCGCAACTGTAGGGGCGAGCGCGGGCTGCAGAGGCGAGCGCGGCTGCAGGGACGAGCACGGGCTGCAGGGGCGAGCTCGGCTGCAGGGACGAGTGCGGGCTGCAGGGGCGAGCGCGGCTACAGGGGCGAGCGTGGCTGCAGGGGCGAGCGCGGGCTCCAGAAGCGAGCGCGACTGCAGGGGCGAGCGCGGGCTGCAGGGGCGAGCGCAGGCTGCAGGGGCGAGCGCGGGCAGCAGGGGCGATCGCGGACTGCAGGGGCGAGCGCGGGCTGCAGGGGCGAGCGCGGGTGCAGGGGCGAGCGCGGGCAGCAGGGGCGAGCATGGGTTGCAGGGGCGAGCGCGGCTGCAAGGGCGGGTGTGGGCTACAGAGGCGACCGCGGGCTGCAGGGGCGAGCATGGTTGCAGGGCAGGGCGGCGCGCGGGCCTAAGGGCAGGGCAGCGTAGCGCGCCTAAGGGCAAGGCAGTGAAGCGCGCCTCAGGGCAAGGCAGTGCAGCGCACGGGCTGCAGTGCAGGGCTGCGCGCGGGCTGCAGCACAGGGCTGCGCACGGGCCTAAGTGCAGGGCCGCAGGGCTGGCGTCTCAAATTTAGGTACCATGATTTCCACCTAAATTTTTCATTTTTACCCTAAAGGCATATTTTTCAGAGAAACAGCACCCTGATTGCTCAGTGTTGGAAAGGTATATAGTCTGATTATTCAGGGTCGACAAGTCGGTATCAGAGTAAAAACGCATTATGCATTATCAAACTGAACCTTGATAGTAGGTGTATCGGAACGAAATTTCGAAAAAAACTTCGTCCCGATAAAGCGGGGGGCTACGCAAATGGGGGAACTCGAACAAAGTTTCCGGGAAACTCGCAGTACGATCTTGATGGTAGGTGTGTCGGGAGGAAATTTTGAGGAAACTTTGTCACGATAATGTCATTCGGGGTCGCTCACGCACTGGCTGTACGGCGATCGATCCGAAGGCGGGGTTATCGGAAGGAAATTTCAAAGAAACTTCCTCCCGATAAGGTCAAACTCAGGGACCACGGAGTCGATACTCTGTTAAGTCAGGGTCCACTAACAGACTAATCTGTTACACTATACTCACAATCAGGGATAGGAAATCCATTAGTCTGACTGGATCAGGGTTGAAAACTTAATAATTCTGAAATTTCAGTCTCCACAATGTGGAAAGCCTGGAATCACCCTGAAATTAGGGAAATTATCATGAAAAATACAGCCCTGGTAGGGCCGAAAATGTTTTACGGGCAGTGCAGGGCGAAACGTTCGGTGGGCCCTAGGAACGATCATGCTCTGATACCATGTTGAAATAGGAAGACAGGAATGATGAACGACTAGCAACAGGTGGGTACAAGTATGAAATTCTAACTGGGGTTGTACCCTATACTAAGCACCTCACTGTATCCTAGAAGAACTAAGGACGTACAAATATGTTTTGACATCAACTGCGCGTGATAAAATTCTGAACTATTGCGTGTGACAAGTGACGTTGGGTGTCTTCACTAAGGAGATTCCTAGAGTAATGAATTGTTCATTCATTACAATTAGTGCAAGTAATGTTACGGCTAGTCTTTCGAGGTTCGGGCCTTGCTTCGATGTTTCCGCCGCTTTGACACTCGCTTGGCAAGAATCCTTGGTGACGTGGTCCAAGGTTGATGTGATATTCGGTGCACCATGACATGTTGTTCGCTCATTGGATGGATAAGGAAGATGATAACTCAGTTGAGATCGCTGGGCTTGGGTTGTCGCCACCACTAGTTGTGCGGGGGCATCAACGAGAGTAACTCTTTTCGCAACTTCAGTGTCGGAACTCAGGATTCATTGCCACACTCGTGCCAATGCTTCCTTCATTGCGCCGCTTTGACAGGCAGGCACCGCCTTTCCTTGAAGCGCAGTGCTGCATTGCGTCCTCCCCCCCCACGCCGCGGAGAACTCCTCATATGCTTGCTCACTAGCACCCCTCCTCCCCTCTCCTCTCTCCTTTCTTCGCTCGCACCACAAACCGAAATGCTTCGACCTCCATTTGCACAGTGCTTTGCAGAATAAGAGCGCAAGCTTCATTCATATTTGGCTCTTGTACAGATTTAGTAGACTCGTGAAAGCATGGCGTGGCTAGAGAAGCTGAACTCCACGCTCGAGTCATTCTTAGAAGTTAACTTCGACAGCTCTGTGAGAATAAGAACGAGGAATGAGTTCATTGAGCAGCATGAGGAGGACAAGTAGGAAAACCTAACACTATTGTACCCCATAAGGAGTGCCCCACTACAGCCTACAATATAGTTCTGACACACCCCCATAGGCAAAGTGGGGGACAAGCAAGAGAACAAGGCAAGGTCAAGCTCAGGGTGGATCACCACGTCACCACACATTCTGAGCACAAGTTCAAGGCCACAAGGCCAGTTAACATGCATGAATATAAAGCAAAGTGAACAAGCAAGACAATGATCGCAGCCTAACAAAGGTAAGCATGCACGCGCAGGTATATATAGATCACAGTATAAGCAAAGTCAAGAGGTAAGTAAGTGAGGCCCAGTAGGCACAAGACCTAGCATAGTACAGAAACGCTGATGATCACAAGGCTGAAGTGTCTTGGTGAAGATATCAGCAGTGTTGGCCCGAGAGGCCACGTAAGCAAGACGAAGCTGACCACGCTGCTGCAACTTTCGAGCAAGGAAGTAGCGCAGAGCAATGTGCTTCGTTCTGTGCTCTTGACACAAGGCCAGCATGGCCTTGTTGTCGACGTACAAAACTGGAGGAGAACGAGGCGCCTCTCCCAAGTCGGTCAGCAGGTAGGTGAGCCAGCGTAACTCCTGTACAGCCATGGCCCCAGCGTAGATCTCAGCCTCACAACTCGAGCTGAGAACAGAAGACGAGCGGGTAGACCGCCACAAAACAGAGCTGGAACCAAGGCTGAAGGTATAACCCTATCACGACCGCTGCTTAGCCAAGTCGTCAACACAAGAAGCGTCTGCGTCACCAGTGAGGACAACTCGAGCCCGTCCTCCAAGCACGAGCCCCATGCCCGACGTACTGCACAGGTAGCGCAACACCCTCTACGCTGCAGCCATGTGCTCTGGTCGGTGTCTCCCATGAGCAACATAGCGTGCCAAGATGCTAAGAGGGTATGCCAGGTTAGGTCGAGTGCAGGTCATCAGGTACATGAGGCAGCCAACAATCTCTGGGTACGCGCCACTCGGCTCTATGGACTCATCCAAAGGCAGAGCTGAGAGCGAGTGGCGAGTAGACAGAGGAGTGGCATGCGGCGAGCAGTACGTGAAGTTGAAGCGTTGAAGGACCTGCTGCTCCATGTGTGACTGAGTCGAGGCTTAGCACCCCCAGACCCGGCACCCGCAGGCTCAGCACCCCTAGCAGCACCAGAGTCAACAGCTGCCTTGACAGGCTCGACCGCGTCTACCTGGGACACACCTGAGGGGGCAGGAGCCTGAGGGGGGAGGGGGTCTACCCGGGAGGACCTGGCGCGAGGAAGAGCGGCGAGGGGGGGAGGGGGGCAGTGCGGTAGGGGAAGAGACGGTAGTAAGGAACTGACTCGTAAAACGTGACGTCCTGAGAGGACACAACACGGCGCGATTTGGGGTGGTAAAAATGCCAACCATGCGCGTCAGGGGGGGAGCCAAGGAACAGCAAGGGAGGACAGCTTGTCCGCACACAAGTCGCGGACGAAAGCTCCAGATCTCTAGACACGGAACGCAGACGCATCGCCAACCTTCCCCGTCCACCGCAGAGTATGTGTGGTCTCTGGCATGGAGACCTGGGGGTGGAGGTTGAGCTGATGCGCCGCGTACGGCCACAGAAAATGGGGATCCACGCGTACGGGCCGTAGAAATGGGGATCCACGTAAGGTTCGAACCGAAACTCTTGCTGAACTGACGACGGGCAGCGTGAATCTAGTCAATCAGCACCTCAGTGACCTCACCCTCGCAGCGCAAGGGGAAGACTGTGGTGTAACGCGAGTAGTCGTCAACGACCAGCAGAAAGTAGCGCTTGTGACCCTGGTCACGGACGCGGGTTGGGCCCCACACGTCCATGTGAAGCGTCTGCAGGGGAGCCTCCGTCGGAGGGAACTCGGAGGAGCGAGGAGCGGCGCGCTGCCGCCCCTCGACGCAAGGAACGCAGGTAGGGGCAGGCCCTGGGGGAAGGGGAGGGAGAGACCGGGGAAGACCAGTGACAAGGACACGGGAGTCCATGCCTCGGAGACGAGGCAGGGAGGGGTGACCAAGGCGGTGGTGCAAGAGGAGAGTCTGGTGAGACAGGAGGCGACACGAGCAGGGGGCAGACTTAGGACTTAACCAGGACGCTGCACCAAACACCTGACCCGACGCAGCTACCTGACAAGACTCAGCAACCGGAGGAGACACGGTAGTAAGGGTGTACAGGCTCGACCCAGGCTGACGGGTGAACGTGGCCAGGTGCCGGCCCGTCAGAGTACAGAAACAGTGGGTCACCCGCTGACCTCCAGGAGTGAACTGGTAAACCCACGCATCCTGAAGGTCAGCTCCACTCACCAAGTTTGTGGAGAACGAGGGGAGGTGGAGGCCAGACAGAGAGCCAGACGGGACCGCCGGACACGGCAGAACTGTGGAGGAGTGTGCAAGGACCGGACCCCCAGAGGGGTCAGCAAGAGAGAATGCCACTGGCCGACTGAGCGGCGAGAGTGTGGTGCAGTCGCGAAAGTAGGAGCGGGAAGCACCCGAGTCAAGGGTGAAAGTGTGCAAGGCCGCAACAGGCGCAGTACTAGAGAGAGCAAACTCACCAGCACCTGGAGCAGTGGACTCACTAGCGCCTAGAGCAGCAGCCTCACCGGCACCTGGAGCAAGAGACGCACCAGCACCTAGAGCAGCAGCCTCACCAGCACCTAGAGCAGCAGACTCTATATCTGGGTCAGGTGGCACACACAGGTAACAAGCACCCTCGGCACTAGTAGGCAATGCATACATGGCAGTGAGGATAGCATCATAGTCAAGAGCAAAGATATCTACCCTCTGCCTAAACAGCTCCAGCCAGGAGGGGAGCTCAGCGTCGTCGCCAAACTCTATACGCCAGGCGTCACTCAGACTGGCGAAGCAGCGGGACTCTGTATGACCAACCGTCCCGCAAAGCTTACCAGCCCGAGCACCTTTGCGAAAGACGTATGGGCAGCGAGCAGTACTCCGTGACCCTCTACTCTGAGCGTACCACTCACGAAGCTACTGGGGCGAAAGGACCGCGCGTGGACGGTGCTCCAGCTGCACCTGGTCACTACAAGAAGCTCCCGAACGACCCGCCCCAGGGCGACTCCCACCACGGCCACCCCTACAACCCCAACTAGCGTACCACCCACGAAGCTGCTGGGGCGTGAGAGACTCACGCGGACGTCGCTGGAGCTGCATCAGGCCACCGCCAGGAGCAGCAGTAGCAGTAGTAGCTGCAGTGGCAGCAGTAACAGTAGTAGGAGCAGTAGCAGCAGTAGCAGCGCGGCCACCTCTACAACCCCAACTAGCGTACCACTCACGAAGCTACTGGGGCGTGAGGGACTCACGCAGACGTCGCTGGAGCTGCATCTGGCCACCGCCAAGAGCAGCAGTAGCAGTAGTAGTAGTACCAGCAGCAATAGCAGCAGAAACAGCAGTAGCAGCACGGGCAGGGCAGTGTGGCTCAGTAGAGCAGGGCTGCACAGCCCGGCAGCACGACACGGCTCGGCTCGGCGGCTCGGCGCCGCAAGGCGGCTCGGCTTAGCTGGGCGGCGCGGCTCGGCTGGCAGGCAGGCGCGGCAGGCAGGCCAGCGTGAAATCGCGCTAGTAAGGCAGGCGCGCAGGAAGCGCGGGTAGGGCAAGTGCTCACCAGTGGCGGGAAGGGCAGTCGCTCGCCGGGCGAGCAGGGTAGGCACACGACGGCGGCGACGGTGGGGCCGGGACAGCGGCAGGGCGGGGCCGCGACAGCGGCAGGGGGCTCCGCGGCAGCTGCTGGAGGGCAGGGCCGCGAGTGCTGCAGGCGGCTCCACGGCAGCTGCTGTAGGGCGGGGCTGCGACGGCGGCAGGGGGCTCCGCGGCAGCTGCTGCAGGGCGGGGCTCCGAGGTAGCTACTGCAGGGGGCGCCGCGACGAGCAGGGGCGACGCCCTGGGGGCGCCGCGACGAGCAGGGACGGCGCCAGAGGGTGCCGCGACGAGAAGGGACGGCGCCCAGGGGGCGCCGCGACGAGCAGGGGCGACGCCACGGGGGCGCCGCGTTGAGCAGGGAAGGCGCCTCGGGGGCGCCGCGACGAGCAGGGAAGGCGCCCAGGGGGCGCCGCGACGAGCAGGGGCGACGCCCCGGGGGCACCGCGACGAGCAGGAACGGCGCCCAGGGGGCGCCGCGACGAGCAGGGGCAACGCCCCGAGGGCGTCGCGACGAGCAGGGACGGCGCCCAAGGGGCGTCGCGACGAGCAGGGACAACGCCTAGAGGGCGCCGCGACGAGCAGGGGCGACGCCCTGGGGGCGCCGCGATGAGCAGGGGCGCCGCGACGAGCAGGGACGGCGCCTAGGGGGCGCCGCGACGAGCAGGGGGGGGACGCCGCGTGGGTCCCGCAGGGGCAGCTTCCACGGGCTGCAGAGGTAGCGCCCACGGGCTGCAGGGGCAGGCACGGCTGTAGGGGCAGGCACAGCTGCTCGGGAGGGCTGCGCGCGGGCTACAGAGGCAGCTCCCACGGGCTGCAGAGGCAAGCACGGCTGTAGGGGCAGGCACGGTTGCAGGGGTAGCACGGTCGCAGGGGCAGCACGCGGGCTGCAAGGGCAGCGCGGCTGCAGGGGCAACTAAAAAAAAAATCAGTTAGGGCAGGGCGGAACGTTCGGTGGGCCCTAGGAACGATTTTGCTCTGATACCATGTGAGAATAAGAACGAGGAGTGAGTTCATTGAGCAGCATGAGGAGTACAAGTAGGAAACCCTAACACTACTGTACCCCATAAGGAGTGCCCTACTACAGCCTACAATATAATTCTGACATAACCCATCCTTCCTAACCTATGTTTTCTTTCACTAGCTTCGATGC